CAAGAAATCAGGGCCTCTTCAGGACTGTGACTCACTGGTCACACCAGTCAGTGAGAGTTTAAACCCAGTATCATGAGGTGGCTCCAGGACATCCCCCCTCACCGCTCCCAGTCCTGAGCACAACTGAGGGTGAAAACCAAGAATCCAAACAAAGCATCTACTATTTGCATGCTCACAACAGCTGAGAAGCAGCCAGCACAGAAAGCCTTGCTGTGTTAGAAATGTGGAGAACATCCTGAGAGCTGCTTTGCAAGTACCAGCACATGCCAACAGTTAATGCTCAAATCCTGAAATAATTTAGTCATTCCAACTCCTGTGTAGATAAACCTCCTCCACATGCAAATGAAAGAGATGGGAGAGAAAGATGGGGCGAAAAAATAGGCGGGTGTGGGCAAATGAATGATCTTCAGCCATAATTCCAGGCAGTGAGCTGAGCTCCTGGCAGCTGAACCAGCACTTGCAGAGCAACATAGTCCCAATCCACATCCCAGCAAAATCACCTGAGTCTCTTCTAAAAGCTGCACTGGGACCTGGAACAAGCCAGTGTTCAACTTTACTGAACCTGTACAGCACTGCCAACAAAGCACAGTTCAAGAAAATACTCTAATTTTTGGTCACATGTAATGACAGTTCCTTGCAACTTGGAGATATTGTTCTGCGTGAATTCTTGAAAGAAACAGCCCACAGTCCCAGAGAGGGGATGAGAGCAATGAATGTTTGAGGCTTTGCCAAGCTGCCAATTAAAACAGACCAAAGAAACTGCATTTCAATTTAATGCCCATCGAGAAAAAACACTGCCAACCCTACCAAAAACCTGATTTCCATGTGCAGCACCAGAAGGCAGCTCCTGTCCCAGGAACATCCCAAACCACCCTTCTGGGACCTTGGGCTGCCTTTACCCTGTCCCGAGGAGAAAAAGCCTCATGTTCCTCCTCACAACTTCAGAAGTCCAAGCTCCCACCTCTCCTCTCCCCCAGAACTAACAATCCTTTCTCCTACTAACAGATTTTTGCATGCATACAAAACATTTGCAACTTACTATCCAATTAAATTGCTACATTAAATATACAATTCTAGCCAGTACAAAAACTTTCCTTTCTAAAATGTAGCATTTCCATGCTACTGTAACAACTTCAGTGTGATTTCATGTAACCTTTTTCTTCCCTGTGCAGAATATATATATTAAAAATGAGTTTATGTATATTTATATGTTTATATATGTATATATATCTACCTCAAGACAGAGCATAGACTGATTTTTGTTACTGTTTAGCTCATAAATCACATCTGAACGTTGTCATACGGCAACAACCCGGCCCTTCACTGTGGGGTCACTGTCCCAACCCTCCCCACCGGCACCTCCCTGGCACGGACACACAAAACAGGGGCTGAGTCCCAGCCCAGCCCCGGCCGGGCAAACCCCGGGAACAGCCTAAACCCCAGGAACTCATCCCGGAATGGAGAGTTATCCCTGTGCTCCTGCTCTGCCCGGGGGTGTGCCAGACGGGACAGGAGCCGGGACACCGGGAACACCGGGACACACCGGGAACACCGGGAACACCGGGACACACCGGGAACACCGGGACACACCGGGACACACCGGGACACACCGGGAACACCGGGACACACCGGGAACACCGGGAACACCGGGACACACCGGGAACACCGGGACACACCGGGACACACCGGGACACACCGGGACACCCACGGAACACCGGGACACACCGGGAACACCGGGACACCCACGGAACACCGGGACACACCGGGAACACCGGGACACACCGGGAACACCGGGAACACCGGGAACACCGGGACACACCGGGAACACCGGGAACACCGGGACACACCGGGACACACCGGGAACACCGGGACACACCGGGACACACCGGGACACACCGGGACACCCACGGAACACCGGGACACACCGGGAACACCGGGACACCCACGGAACACCGGGACACACCGGGAACACCGGGACACCCACGGAACACCGGGACACCCACGGAACACCGGGACACACCGGGAACACCGGGACACACCGGCGAGAGGCGACGAGGGGGAGGAGAAGGACGAGAAGAGGAGAAGAAGGAGGAGAAAGAAGAGGAGGCGAAGAGGAGGAAGAGGAGAAGAAGGATGAGGAGCAGGGAGAGGAAGAGGAAGAAGAGGAAAGAGAAAGATGAGGAGGAGGAGGAGGAGGAGGAGGAAGAAGAAGAAGAGAAGAAGGGGGAACAGGAGCATGATGATAAGGAGGAGGAGGGGGAAGGATAATGAGGAGGAGGAAGAGGAGGAGGGCGGGGGTGGATCGCCCGCAGCCCCGGCCCGGCGAAGCCCCGCAGGGACCCGCCGGCTTGGGGCGGGCCCGGGGCGGGCGGGGCCCTCTCCCCGCGCCGGGCGCTCACCGAGGCAGAGCTCGCAGACGTATCCGTAGTAGGACCAGAGCAGCAGCAGCGCGATGAGCAGCACGGGCAGCCAGGCGAGGGCGCGGCGGCAGCAGCGCAGCCCCCGCCACAGCGCCATGGCCCCCGCGCACATCGGCGCGCGGCTGCGCGGCCTGCCCGCCCCCGCCATCGGCCATCGGCTGAGCCGCCTGCGCGCCGCGCCCCCTGGCGGGCGGGGCGGGAGCGGCCCCTGAGGGGGGACCGGGGAGCAGCGCTGGGGGCCCGAATAAACAGCGCCGGGGGCCCCAAAACAACGCTGGGATCCCAAAAACACCGCCGGGATCCCACATAAACACCACTGGGATCCGAAAAAAACACTGCTGGATCCCCAAAACACCGCTGGGATACCCAGAACACCGCTGGGATCCCAAAAACACCGCCCGGATCCCAAATAAACACTGCTGTGATCCCAAAACAGTGCTGGGATCCCAAATAAACACCGTTGGGATTCCCAAAATACTGCTGGGATCCCAAATAACCACCGCTGTGATCCCAAAAACACTGCTAGGATCCCCAAAATACTGCTGGGATCCCAAATAAATACCACTGTGATCCCAAATAAATACTGCTGTGATCCCAAAAACACCGCTGGGATCCCAAAAACAACGCTGGGGTCCCAAATAAACACTGCTGTGATCCCAAAAACAACGCTGGGGTCCCCAAAACACCACTGGGGTCCCAAATAAATACCACTGTGACCCCAAATAAACACTGCTGTGATCCCAAGAAACGTCACTGTGATCCCCAAAACACTGCTGTGATGCCAAAGAAACAGCGCTGTGATCCCAAAAACCACCACTGTGATCCCAAAAACACTGCTGTGATGCCGAAAAACCATCAACCCCAGAGACACCGAATAAACACTGCTGGGACCCCAAATAAACACTGACTCCAGAGACCCCTAATAAATATCCCTGAGCTCAGAGACCTCAAACAAACACTCCTGAGCCCAGAGATCCCAAAGAAACACCTCTGGGACCCCAAATAAACACTGATGGGACCCCAAACACTGTGTGGGTCTGGGCTCTGGGCTGCTGTGGGGACAGGGAGGGCACCCCGCCCGTTGCTTGGCCCTGGCAGGCACAGCTGGGGTGCAGGGTCCAGCTCTGGCTCCTCAGCACAGGGGACATGGAGCACCTGGAGCGGGGCCAGTGCAGGCTGAGGAGGGGACACGGGAGATGGGGGAGAGACTGGAGATGGGGGAGGGACTGGAGATGGGAGAGAGTGGAGATGGGGGAGAGACTGGAGATGGGAGAGAGTGGAGATGGGGGAGAGACTGGAGATTTGGGGATGGATAGGAGATGGGGGGAGGGACTGGAGATGGGAGAGAGTGGAGATGGGGGAGAGACTGGAGATGGGAGAGACTGGAGATTGGGGAGGGACTGGAGATGGGGGAGAGACTGGAGATGGGGGAGGGACTGGAGATGGGGGAGGGACTGGAGATGGGAGAGATTGGAGATGGGGGAGGGACTGGAGATGGGGGATGTCGGGGGTGACAGCGGGTCTGTCAGCACCTTGGCACATACTGATGAAGCAATAGATGTTGACCAGATCAAAGTATACCCCTGAGATGGACTGAAAAGAGAGGACTGAAAATGGAGGCCCTGATCCTGACAACATACTGATGCACCCTGAAGAAGCTGTCCTGTGGGAACAGAGAACACTGTCTCATGAGAACAAGGACCTGTTTTGAACGAGAGTGGTTGGGAAGAACATCAACATGAGAGAAAAATAAGAGCAGGTGCTCGGGACTGTTGTGGGAAAGAACTGGGCTGTTTTGAGAAAGAGCAAAGTTGTTGTGAGAAAGTAGAGTTTAGAAAATGCACCTATTAGCTGTAAGAATTCTGGTGTGAAAGTTTGAACTGTCCTATCCATGTGCATTATGTGTGTTCAAAAACTGTACTTAAGGGGCTGCGCAGCAGCCCCGGCTGTCCCTGCTTTTTTCTTGGAATAAACTTTGCTGGAACCTTTTTTTTGTGTCGCTTTGGCCGTTCCGACACTTATCAGCGACAGGGGGAGGGACTGGAGATGATGGAGAGACTGGGGATGGGGGAGATACTGGAGATGGGGGAGAGACTGGAGATGGGGGAGATACTGGAGATGGGGGAGAGATTGGAGATGGGGGAGAGGTTGGAGATGGGAGAGGGACTGGAGATGGGGGAGGGACTGGAGATGGGAGAGAGTGGAGATGGGGGAGAGACTGGAGATGGGGGAGAGACTGGAGATGGGGGAGATACTGGAGATGGGAGAGAGACTGGAGATGGGAGAGAGTGGAGATGGGGGAGAGACTGGAGATGGGAGAGAGACTGGAGATAGGGGAGGGACTGGAGATGGAAGCGTTGAGATGTGGGAGGGACTGGAGATGAGGGATAGACTGGAGATTGGAGAGAGAACTGGCGATGGGGTAGTGACTGGATATGGGGGAGGGACTGGATGATGGCGCTATGAGGAGCTGGGGGAGTGACTGGAGATTGATGGAGAGATTGGAGATGGGGGAGATACTGGAGATGGGGGAGAGACTGGAGATGGGAGAGACTGGAGATGGGGGAGAGACTGGGATGGGGGGAGATGGAGATAGGGAGGAGAGTGGAGATGGGGGAGGGACTGGAGATGGAGGAGAGACTGGATAGGGGGGAGAGACTGGCGATGGAGGAGAGACTGGAGAGGGAGGAGAGACTGGAGATGGGGGGAGTGGAGATGGGGGAGGGACTTGGAGATGGGGGAGAGACTGGAGATGGGGGAGAGACTGGAGATGGGAGAGAGTGGAGATGGGGGAGGGACTGGAGATGGAGGAGAGACTGGAGATGGGGGAGGGACTGGAGATGGAGGATTGGGAGAGACTGGAGATGATGGAGAGATTGGAGATGGGGGAGAGATTGGAGATGGGGGAGGGACTGGAGATGGGGGAGGAGATGGAGATGGGAGGAGAGACTGGAGATGGGGGAGAGACTGGAGATGGAGGAGAGACTGGAGATGGAGGAGAGACTGGAGCATCTCCGTGGCCAGGAAAGGCTGAGGGAGCTGGGGCTGTTCAGTCTCCAGAGGAGACAACTCATCCATGTGTATAAATATCTGCAGGGAGGGGGCAGAGGATGGAGCAGGCTCTGCTCGGACGGGCCCAGCAATGGCACAGGAAGAAGGGGCAGGAAATTATGCCCAGAAATTCCACCTGGACACAAGGAAGAACTTCTTCCTCGTACAGTGACCAAGCACTGAACAGGCTGCCCAGAGGGAGGGTGGAGTCTCCTCACCAGGGATATTCCAGTACCTTCTGGACACAATCCTGTGCCACGTGCTCTGGGATGGCCCTGCTGGAATGGGGAGGTGGGACCAGATGAGCCGCTGTGGGCCCTTCCAGCCTGGAAGGGTGGTATTCTGGGATGTTGTAGGACCGTCCTGTCCCCTGCACTGCCACACCAGCCCTGCCCTGCTCTCCAGTGACCCAAGCACACACCCAGGTGTGCTCATGTGCAGAGTGTGTAGGGACAGGACAAGAGGGAAGGGGTTCCGACTGAAAGACAGTAGGTTTAGACAGGATAGCAGGAAAAAAATCTTTACTATGATGGTGGTGAGGCCCTGGCATGGGTTGCCCAGAGAAGCTGTGGCTGCCCCACCCCTGGAAGCCTTTTCCAAGGCCAGGTTGGATGGGACTTGGAGCAACCTGGGATAGAGGAAGTTGTCCCCGCCCTTGACAGGGGGTGGAACAAGATGAGCTTTAAGGTCCTTTCCCACCCAAACCCTTCTATGATTTATATATATATACACACACATACATATTCAAGTAGTCAAATTAATAAGCAATAATAAGCACCTGTTTACTATTACTTATTCATTTGACTACTTGAATATGTATATATGAATGTATACATACACAGACACACATCTAGTGAGTAAATATGTACATTTACTTGTTACTATGGAATGTACATGGGAGGATCAGATTCCAGACAACCAGCGGAAAAAAAAGAGACTCCCATCCAACACCTTGAGAATATGGCATTTAATGTACAAAAAAAGAAAACAAAAAGATGCCCTGCTGCCCCAGCCTGCTCCAGAGAATTCCTGCAGGAATCTCCTCATTCCCATGTTCAGTGATGTGCTTTGAGTTATGGCTCCAGTTAATGAACTCTGCTCTATTGCCTCTGGTGAGGAAATTCATTTTCTCGTCAAGAGAAAGACTTATCTGACAGAATATTCTCGTGACAACCCCTGGTGTAATTTCTAACACTTTCTGGTCACCTCTTTGTTCATCAGTTTTTTCTCCCTCAGAAGCTGTTCTAAAACTTTCCCTGTGGTTGGGATCACACTTGGAGCTGTACTGCCTCTGCCAACTTATGTCACAGTTTTTGAGCATGGTCCCCAGATTTGCCATTCTCCTGCCCAGATCCCAGAATTCAGACATCACTCAAAAATCCTCAGACCGCATTTGTAATTCCATATTTAATTCTCTCAATATTTTTAGATGGAGATGATCTACAACCTCTGGTTTTCTCAAAAAATGTGCTCACTAATGAGGTGACAGCTGTCTTAACCTCCTCTCTACCTTGCTCAGTCTATACAGTCACTATTCTCTTCCTCAGGCTACTAAATTCTTTATACAATACAAACACTGAGCTTTTGGGCAGTTTTGATTTTCTGTGTGTGGTCCAGCTTAACCAAAGTTTTGGGTAGTCCCTGCTGTAGCAGAAGTTCTTTGAAGATATGATAACATATGTTGGCCTGAGCTGCATGTAGCCCTAAGCATGAAATCTCAGACATACATACATATGTATCCATATACATATATTCTTGTACATATATATAAGAAAAACCTCCTTCCAGGGGATTCAGGGAGAGGATACAGGACAGGTACACTCAAAGTTTTTAGGATTTGGGAGAGGAAGATGTGAATGCCCCCTTGCTTTCCCTCCTTCCCCCACTGCACAGTGCCAAGAACAAACATTTTTGCCAGCAACATACTTTACATACAGCAAAATTTAAAAATCACTCCTGTGAGCTAAATCACTACCTGGAACAACTCACAGACTCTTCTCCTCTGAGACAGATGGGATGAACAGTACATCCATGGCACGTTTTTCCTGTGTGTGCATGTGA